CATAGAAGAGATCCTTGGACGCCTCATCCTTCTCTTCCATCGGGGCAGTACTCTGCGACGGAGTCTCTCTCCTACCACGAATCCAACACCGAATTTGCGCTCCTTTACGTGGCAACTCTAGTAGACGTCGCAAGGCTTCACGCTTACTTTTCCTTGCCCCGTCCATCGCATTTCTTGGATGGCGGTGATGTCAGCCTTTGTATTCCCGAGGACATCAACCAGCCGGGCAGAGGCACCTTCCCCATTAAGGGTCCGGATATTCCAGGTGCATACCCTTAAATCATAGTCCTTTATACGTTTGCGGTGGTCGTCATCAGAAAAAGGGGGTCTCATCCGAGGCTTTATAGATTTTTTCATTGGGCGTGGTTTTAACGTGGCGGGACCCAAACCCAGCGCACGCGAAGTTTTACGCCTTCTCACTTTAGCTCGCTCCCAAACGGGTGTTTGGTTGCTACCCAGAGGATACGTGGATATAAATATCCGGACGTTGTGAGTTTCGATTTGAACCGTACGCACAAGAATCGCTTCTGGCCACTACCAGGTGAATGGTAGTCAAAAATTTTCCACTTCTGCGCACGGAACCATCCTCCTATACCTATGTATAAGCAAAATAGGGCAAAAGGCTCATGCACGAAAACGTGGCAACCATAACTGAGCGCGACACACTATTACCATGACAAAATGAGACTGTGTTGGTGTGCCCAGCATTGGTTTAATAACTGGGCACCGTTTTGTTAGAATCAAATCTTTTAAATGCCAGCCGACAAGATGGTCACAGTGTTTAGATTTTATTATTTTCATATAAATAGGTATTTAGTCCTAATAAAATTATAGTTTAAAAACTAAAACCTCCCTATTATAATTGCCATTCTTACTGTCATCAGGTGTGTAACTTGAGAATAGAAATCGCTGTATCTTGTAAGCGCATCAATATTACATAGTTACATCCCGAGCTAATAAAAGGAAGGTAAAAATAGAGTATTTCTGGGCATAAACCAGCATTTATATTTCTCTATCGATTTCTTTAGACAGAAAACAATTTTTTTTTAAAAGTATGCAACTTGTGGCCTTTTTTTTAAAAAATCATGAAACTTATTATAAAATTACTGAACGTTGGTCATCAAGAAGCCCACTTTATATTTTTTTAAATTCACACAGCATGACAAATACAGGTTGCTTATATTAAAAATACCTAGGAATAACAGCATAATGGACATTGTGGGTTGTTGAAGGTTCTTTGAGCTATAAACTATAGTTCTTATATAGAGTCGCACTATTTTGTGTTTGAATCGTAGCAAACTCACGCAAGCACCAATCGAAGAATAATACACCACTTTTTGCTTAGGGCATTTTTTGTCAATTTCCTACACAAAATGTGGCAAGCGTGTGCTAAAATTACGAAGAAAAACAATCAACGGCCGAGTGTAATGTTACCTTGGTGAAATCTGACTGAATCCTGAAAATCGCTGCTTTGCTTCTGTATACGTATAAGAACCAAACATGAAAAATGGAAATTTCAGATTGTACCTAATATTATAAAATAAATGTATGTACCTAAATGAGACCGATTGTACTTAAACAAAGTTACATAATCCATTTGTAGTTTTTTTATTAATTTTATTTAAAACATGAACACAAAAGATGGATGTACTTTAAATATGATTTGGCTTTTTTTAACTGAGCCTATATCTATAGACTATAGTCTAATGGGAATCGGAGAAGCGTTGTTTTTTCTAGTTTTTACTACTGAAAAATATTGGCGCAAAAGACAAAAAACACACTTTGTGAAGTATGCTTCTTTATAAAACAACAGGAAAAGTCTGCCAATTTATCCGATTCCTTTTAATAGGTGCAGCAAGTCTAGAGAAAATAATCAAATTGCCGTTAGTAACTTCGAAAGTATTTTAAATATATTTCCAGAAATCAAAAAGCGAATATGGGTCAAATAGCTATAGTTCTTATCTAAAGAGAAATTTGAAGACATCCTAGACACTGGACTGTATGGGCGAATAAAGGCTGGCATTATGCCATGTTTTCACAACAAAATTTGTCTGCATATTTTGACACCACTTTCCTGCGTTTATCCCTACCTTTATCGATGATATGATGAGCCAAAACTTACTAATAGCCGGTTTAGCAGCGCATGTAAATGCCTGAAGGCCTATTCTGATCTAAGTCAATCAAAAGAACATTTTTTAGTCCCATTTGACAATTTGTTTTCACTCATTTGACCGTAAATGCCATTGAATTTGAATTAGTGAAAATAAGCGTTAAAATTAATAGAAAACAAGTAAGAGCAGCGCTGTCTTCGGCTATGCCGAAGGCTTCATACCTTTCATGAGCATCTGAAAATTTTACTTTACTTGAAAAAATGTATATATTCACAGCAGGCATAGATAGAGCAGATGCATATATAAAAAATAATATCTAAACAATCAGAGGTATGGAAGATATATCTTATATAGCACCAATCTAAATGATTTTCACTGCTGTGTGATCGGTACGTGAACCGGTAACACAATTTAATGGGTTTAGCTACCTACATCAAGGAGATATATCGCAAAGACTGGTATCTGAACAATCAGTGGTATAAGAGATAAAGCTCACACAGCATACATTTTGACGATTTTCTCAGTAGACTTTGTATTATTACTTATAAAATAGCTTACGAAATTTATCGGTTTTAGCTGCCCAAATAAAGGAGTTTTACAGTAAAACCCCATATCTGAACAATCAGTTGTATGGGGGCAATAAATAGGTTATAGTTTCCCGATCTTTGTTAATTTCACTGTAAACTTTCTGTTGATAATGAGTGAAAATAGTGCGAAATTTCATGTTTCTAGCTGCATGGATGTAGTTATAACAAAAAATCTCCAACAACCACTTGTATGGGAGCTATATGTAAAAGTGACCCGATCTTTGATATTTCCGCTGTATATTCTGTTGTTAATGGGTGGAAGTATTGCAAAATTTCATATTCCTAGGTGCATAAATAGAGGAGCTATAACGAAAATTCCTATAACTGAACAATCAGTTGTATGGGAGATATATGTTATAGTGACCCGATCTTTGTTATTTTCACTGTAAGTATTCTGTTGATAATGGGTGAAAGTATGGCAAAATTTGATGTTCCTAGCTGCGTAAATGGAGAAGTTATAACGAAAAATCTCATATCTGAACAATCAGTTGTATGGGAGCTATAGGTTATAGCGACCCGCTCTTCGCCATTTTCACTGAAAATATTCTTTTGATAATGAGTGATAACAGTGAAAAATTGCATGTGCCTAGCTGCTTAAATGGAGGAGTTATAACGAAAAATCTTATGTCTGAACAATATTTGTAGTGACCCGATCTTTGTAATTTTAACTCTAAGTTTTCTGTTGATAATGGGTGAAAGTATTGCAAAATTTCATGTTCCTAGTCGCGTAAATGGAGAAGTTATAACGAAAAATCTCATATCTGAACAATCAGTTATATGGGAGCTATATGTTATAGTGGTCCGATTCTTCCGGTTCCGACAAATGATTAATACATTATAAAAATACTTCCACGTACCAAATTTTATCCGGATATCTCGAAAACTGAAATACTAGATTGCATACAAACAGACGGACAGACAGACAGACAGACAGACAGACAGACAGACAGACAGACGGACAGACGGACATGGCTAAATCGACGCAGCTCGGCGTTCTGATCATTTAAGTATACATTTTAATGGGTCTATCTCTTCTTATTCTGGTACTTACAAACATCGGAGCAAAGTTATAATACCATTTCATGCTCATGAAAGGTATACAAATTACGAATTGGAGGATAGCTAAGTAAAGTGTTAATTTTTCGTGGTGGCTGCTCTAAATGCGGTGTAAAATGTTTAATAGAATCAGGGTGGGAAAAAACTCGGAGTTCGAGCGAGCGAGTGAGCAAACTCCTACTCAATACCTCGCAGACAACGAGGAGCTCGCAGCTCGTACTCGTAGCAGCAATGAGGCGAGGCACGAGAAGTTTGGCTCGCTCGCCAAACGAGCGAGCGCTGCTTGTTTGCTCGCGCTCCTATTAAATGAGCGAGGCTGTTGGGGGTTGCCTCGCTCGCAGTGCGAGGCGAGTAGCTGTCTGCATACTCACTCTGCTAGGAAAGACGAGTGAGCGACGAGCGAGCGCTCCGAGTGTACTATACAACACATGCATTTTTGTGCATAAAAATGTGGGAATGTATGTCAATAGATTATGTACGAAAGTATGTTAATAATTGTATGTACATATGCATATATATATGTGAAGTATTATATTAGGGCAGCATTTAAAACAACAAATAAAATTGATTACATACATAAGCATAGATTATGGAATGAGTTATTTTTTAGAGTTATATTCATACATGTGTACACACATAACATGCATATTTATATATGTTTGTATGTACGTATTTATGTATATATGCATTTATATAT